TGTATTGCCTATATGTTTGACCCATGACTGAAATTTATTTGTTCAAAACATGTAAAAAGAACATGTTATCACTGCTTTGTGATTGAACTGTGAAATAGACATGCTAGATAATATGTGGGGTACCTTCCTTTTCTTATATGCAGTTCCAACTTTAAGTTAGCATAGCTAAATCTGTTTTACTAAGCTTGCTCTTCTAGAATTTCAAAGACGTTTTTCTTATTACCGTGGTTCGTTCTTTATCCTGATTTTTACATGGCATTTGAAGCAAACATAATGTGAATTGACAAGTGTAAAATGTCCTTTTCTCCCCATAATTTGTTTTGCTTATTTTTCTTTTCTGTTTTTACTTTTTTGGGCCGGGGTAGTGGAGCATGCTATGATATCTTTTCATCCTGTTCTTCTTACCTCGGTTTATTTATTTATTTTTTTATTTTTTGCCTTGCTTTAGCCTCTCAACAGGGATCATGGGTATCCATTACGTGTGGTTGTTCCTGGTGTTATTGGAGCCCGCTCTGTTAAATGGCTTGATTCTATCAATATCATTGCAGAAGAAAGTCAGGTCTGATGTATGCTGTAAACTGATTCTGGTATTACTAAAATTTCCTTATTATAATGTTCTGTGGCTTGACATTGTCACATGGCAGGGTTTCTTCATGCAAAAGGACTACAAAATGTTCCCTCCCTCAGTGAACTGGGAAAACATTAACTGGGCAACCAGGAGACCCCAAATGGATTTTCCTGTCCAGGTAATTGTTCTCTTTCAACGTCACCTGACTTTTTTTTGTTAACTGAAAAAACCAGTCATTTATTATCTTTCAATTACCTCTAGTATTTATCATGTTTTGATTTATTGGGCCTTAATGAAGTAGATACAAGAATTTCCTTAGATTTTGAAGCTGAAAATTTGTAACTAATACTCACTAGTTCACTATGACAGTGTGTTATATGTTCTCTGGAAGATGTGAGCACAATAAAGCCTGGGAAGGTTAGCTTATGCAACTTCTGGTTTTAGCTTTTCATGTGTTCTATTGATCTTATTTCGCCCGAAATGCTCATTCAGATCTCTCACCACGTTTTCCTATAAATTTGGTATGATGGTTTTGGTTTTCAACTGAAGAAGATTCAGAAAATAAGCTCATATAGATTTTGAATCCTCTTCCCCAGGGCTGTTAAGTTTGTGCTGTGGTTCACCAAGTCAAGCAAGCAAGACTCTCTTGCATGTCGAGTGTATTGGTAATCGACTAAATTCTAATTCTCATATATCACGTGTAGGTAAAAATTAGTGGATATGCAGTAGCTGGGGGTGGCAGAGGCATTGAGACAGTAGATGTTTCTGTTGATGGAGGCAGAACTTGGCTGGAAGCCTCGAGGTTTCAGAAAAGTGGAATTCCTTACGTAGCAGATGATGCTAACAGTGATAAGTGGGCGTGGGTACTGTTTGAGATCACAGTTGATATTCTTCATAGCACTGAAATTATTGCAAAAGCGGTATGGCTTGTTTTTTTCTTGCTAACGAATGTTCGTCATGACTCTAGTTTTCCAGTCAATGTTTTCTATTAAATAAGCAAACTATCCCCCAAGTGGCCTGATTTGCATAGTTCATATTGATCAACAATCTGATGGGGTTAGTGTCTGCTTTTGTTTGGCTCATTTTGCAGGTAGATTCAGCTGCAAATGTGCAACCTCAACAAGTAGAAGACATTTGGAACTTGAGAGGGATATTAAACACTTCATGGCATCGGGTTCATGTCCAAGCAGGTCACTCAAACATGTAGAAGTTGCGTGGCTTGAGGGACTAACACTTCATAGTTGACTGTTTCTGTTTCTTCTCCTGGATGACATGTGAAGCGAAGAGAGGTTTTAGTCAAGGCGACTCCGAAGAAGATTAAACATTAAGTTGGATACTGCATAATTTATTAGCTATGGTTCAGAAACTTCTTATTCAATACTCTTTTTTTTTTGTGATAATTCTTATTCAATACTTTTAGACATAAATTTGTTGCATTATTGTGATGACTGATGGGCACACCTAGAAAGAAGTAGGGAGTGCTGGACATGAAAATTGGCAAATATGATCCTTCTAAATTCCATAAGGAGATGCATTCTTTGGCTATGCGTGTCGAACTTCAAAATGTCAGATCATCGTTTAGTGGTCCTGGGCCACCCTTGAGTTCTGTTTTCTTAAAAGGACACGTTCTTTCTGGGCAGGAGAAGATAAAAAAGAAACTCTTGAAATCAGGGAACTTCGTAGATATATAACTTAGACGAAACAACCAAAACTACGTCATTCTGCTTATCGAATGAAGATAAAGAAGAGCTCGCAGGGGGATTATTCCTTCAAGCTTAGGGTATTCTTTTTTGATTTCTAACCGCTGACGTGGTTTAATGTATACATTGAAAATCAAGTGAATAAGAGATATATCTGCGTATGTATATGTATGTATATTGTCACGTGTCGTCAGAGAGTGAAATGAGACATGTTTCATGGACTTGCAGGGAAAAATCCAAAGGAAGGAATGGAGCATGACTGACGGATGGTGTCTGCAAAGAAGAACCTGGCTGGTTGTTCCATTGTGATAAGATAAATAAATGAGAGCGGAGAAAAGCAAGATAGTGAACTGACAAATGTATGAGGGGCCTACTCATTTACTGTCCATAATGGGAAGCCCTGGCCTTCTGCTTTCCACTCAACTTCGGTGAATAGCAGATTCGCTATTTGCTATTTCAAGAAACTTCCCATGATAACTCCGAAACGTGTTTAATGTTTATGTTGTTCCATCTGTGAGCTGTAAATTCTGTAAAGGTGAGGTTTTGTAACTGTCATGGATTTATTATTATGGGGTCCTGTGTCCAACATGTTCTGCCATGCCTTAATTATAAGCAAATGACTCTGTTACTATTGGTCCCAGATTTATCATTATCACAATTTCTCACACACACACACACACATGTATGTATCTGCTCAACATAGGCTATCCGTTCTTGCCAAAAAGCTAACCTTCAAAACTGTCATTGTCCATCTTGCCATATCCACCTCACTGCTTTTACTCATTATGCTGTCATAAGACAATGTTACAAGTATTTAGAGCCCTACATAAAAAGTGTGGTTTATAAGTTTAGGTTGTCCCACCACATTCCACACGATGAGTGTTTAGTACACACTTCTCAAATGAAAAAAAGCTCCATATGATTATATATATCATAATCATTTCGAACAACAAAGGTGGGGAGGGCCATTTTGTTTAATGACACAGGTGGAGGATTGCAATAAATATCATAGAAGTCGAAAACTAATGTAACAGATTCTCTGTACTTTCTTTTTATTGTTTAAAAGAAAAATTCATAATGATTCCTTATGATTAATTTTATGAACTTGCGATTGCAATTTTTTAAGAATGTAATTAATTTATTCGTCAATATTTTGTAATAGCCAGTCCCCTTTTTATAATTAAGAAAGATTAGAGCTGACGTTGATATCATTTCAAATCATCATCAATATAGACATGTGATTGTTTTCTCTCTTTTTCTACTATGAAAAGACCCAAAGAAAATCACTATCCGCGTGACATATGTTAAGACTTTAATTGATTGTCCTGCTTTTCAACATAGCTATGTATGTGATATAAAAAAGAAAAGGCGACACCACGTGGATATTGGATTGAAGCATATAATAATCTCGAAAGCTCATACAAAGTTATTCAATTATTGAGACACATCTGTAGGTACTATTAAATTGTCTCCATTCTTTTTCCCAACCACTGAAAAATTGACGAAGAAAACGCAATATTCAATAACTGAACTACTGAAAACTGAGTCATTATAATACTTAACTCGGTTTTGGTTGCTTTTCCCCTACACAGTTAACATCATAATATACTCAATTTAAGATTTAAAATTTGCGTCCTTGATCATGTGGTTTCATAATATATTACAAAATCACAATGGACTTGGAGTCTTCTGAGTGTAGTTTTATTTGTTGCCCCTACTTATGTCTGTTCGAAAATAACTATGGGAATCAATGAATCGATTCTTCACGACAAAGCCTTTTTTGTTTACCCTGTATTTAAAATGATAGTCAGTCCCTGTCCTAATAAAGTTCTTAATTATATAAAATCCATTCTTTAAGTTGGGAACTCGTAGCTTTTATATTCTACCCAAATCGGTGACTTGACTGGTTTTTATTGATTTTTTATTCGTGCCTGTGTTTTTTTGGTTGGGTTTGATGATTCTATTTAACTGATCTCAAAGTAACCCATCAAGTTGCAGTCCGCGAGAAACGTACTGCTTCACTTCAAGAGATCAAGTTGTAGTTCATGAAAATCTTATATTACTACCTGCATATCGTTTCAATAATACCTTCGCAGGGACTTGATCAAGTTGATCTAGTTTGTCTTTTAATTTCTCATTTTATTTCATGTTGGAACATTGATTATATAATTAACACTAAAGAAGATCAATGTCCTGACAAAGTTTGAAGAGTTCTGTCAAGAACAAAACTGATCGATCAAAATCAATTTCACAAGCCTGTGAGTTTATTAAATTAGGTGTTGGGAGGGATGTTGCTAGGATGAATATCAGTTTGTATTATGAAATGTAAAATGCTTTAGCAGAGTCAATGCTATTACCGTCATTTTGAACAAGTTGATTTCAAGTTCTACATGGACATAAAAAGATTTCTACCAAAAACTAATAAATGCCCAATATGATAAAGTCTGCCCCTTTTTTGTTGAAACTATAGAAAACCCTTAGATTAGTACATATATTCAAAGAACAGAATAAGCTTCAAGAGAAAGTTCAAACACCATAGTTCCAATAACCCCCAAAAAAAAAAAAAGTTAGTTAATTAACGTAAAAAAGAAGAAACCCAGTTTCCTTCTAGATGGTGGACAGGCTCCATAGAGTCAAGTCTTTTTTATTTTTTTGTTTTTTGACCATAAGAGCTTATCTTAATGCTACTGTGGGACTAACATACCATTCATACGATCAGAATAATCATAACCATGCTTCTCCATTTCCCCCATCCTCTCTTGCTCATTCTCTCCTTTTTCATCCTTTTCTGCATAGCACTGCTTCAACTCCGGCACCGAAATAGCCCAACTCACCACGGCCCTCCGACCTACCCTCTCATCGGTTGCCTCATCTCCTTCTACGCCAACCGTAACCGTCTCCTCCATTGGTACACTCACCTCCTCTCGCACTCTCCCACCAACACCATCCACGTACACCGCTTAGGTGCACCGAGGACCATTATCACTGCTAACCCACATAACGTTGAGTACATCCTCAAAACCAACTTCCTTAACTTCCCAAAAGGCAAGCCCTTCACCGACATCCTCGGTGACTTTCTCGGACACGGAATATTCAACGTGGACGGCGATCTTTGGCGGACCCAACGTAAACTAGCCGCCCATGAGTTCACTGGAAGGTCACTGAGGACATTTGTGATCCACACGTTGGAGGAGGAGGCGCGTGAGAGGCTTCTTCCGGTGATGGAGGCTTTGTGTGTGAAGGAACAAGCGGTGGACTTGCAGGAGTTGCTGGCTAGATTCTCCTTCAATGTGATTTGTAAAATCACGTTAGGGGTTCAAGTTTGTTGCCTGGATCCTTCTGTACCTGTTTCACCTCTCGTCAAAGCTTTCGACGTCGCCTCGGAGATATCTGCCCGACGAGGAGCGGCGCCTTTGTTTGTGATATGGAAGGTGAAGAGATGGGTCGGGATTGGATCTGAACGAAGGCTTAAAGAGGCTGTGGGAAAAGTTAGGAGCCATGTGATGGAACTGATTCGAGAGAGGAAGAAGATGATGATGAGAAAAATGAACGAGGGGCGTGAAGATCTCTTGTCACGTCTCATATGTCGAGGTTACGAAGAGGACATGATCAGAGACATGCTGATAAGTTTTATGATGGCGGGCAGAGATACCACGTCGGCAGCTATGACGTGGTTCTTCTGGTTACTTTCTCAGCATCCAGAAGTGGAGGAGCAGGTTGTGGAAGAGACACAGCAAGTCAATGTGGAGGAGGCATTAGAGTATGAATCACTGGAGAAATTGAAGTTTTTAAAGGCATGTTTGTGTGAGTCAATGAGGTTGTACCCACCCGTGGCCTGGGATTCTAAGCATGCCATAGTCGATGATTTGTTGCCTGATGGCACCGTGGTGAAGGCAGGAGATAGAGTCACGTATTTTCCTTATGGGATGGGGAGGATGGAGGCATTGTGGGGGGAGAACCGGCTGGAGTTTAGACCGGACCGTTGGTTCGTTGAGAGAGACAGCGTCGAAAGAACAATGACAAAGGTGTCTCCTTTCAAATTTCCTATATTCCACGCTGGTCCCAGAGTGTGTCTCGGGAAAGAGATGGCTTTTATACAGATGAAGCATGTGGTGGTTTCCATTCTCCGGAGATTCAGAATCCAGCGGATTAGGCCGGACAAGCCTTTATTGGTGCCACTTCTGACGGCACAGATGGCCGGCGGCCTCAGTGTATTGATTTGCAAGAGGGAGAAGGAAGCTGATCGGTGACCACTTAAAATGGGCTGAATTCTATTTTATTTTGAATAAACCGGGACATTAAGGAGAGTCAATGGTTGTCGGTCAACTATGTGATGGGTTTAATACTTCTTTGTAGCATAGAAGAAGAAAATTATTCTTAAAAGTGTAAACAATTTTATACGAGGCAAGTTGCACGCTTTCTTCCAGTCATTCGCCATGCTTTGCTGAGCGGATGGCGCTTAATCTTTTGTTTAATAAACTATGGTCAGAATATTGCTTCAGCGAGTCCAAAGTTTGATTATTTCACATGCAATGATCTTCACAAGGCATAATAGTATCATATTCAAATAGAGACCGTACTAACTGTCAGCCATCAGAACTTCATTATCGTTATTTTTAATTCTGTTAAAACTATAATATCTTTTTGTTCCCTATGAGAAACTTAGATCGCTTGATACCTTGGCAATTTGACCCTGACGGGTTGACGAGCTTACCCATATGCCCTTTGGAGAGTTCAATCAATTTAACCCTTCTTTTTTTTTAGCTGAATCAATTTAACTCTTAAAGCACCACTATTTCGTTGAAAAGGAAATACATTACTATTAATGTTTTAAGCCTCACGAAATGCCCAATTAATAAATAATTATTATTCTGACGGGTAGACACTTGTCAAATCCATTGTTGAACCAATGAGACTTGCGAACAATGAAACATCAATCTCGTCACATCATTGCAAGGAGCAAGCAGACATATGGCGTGCATTGTTAACAAAGCTGTCAATTACAAAATCCAAGATTCTATACACCCACCGATCCTCCTTATCCAGCCCCTTACAAATAGTTATCGAGTCAAGCGTGAACTTACCCACCAACGAACACCACCGTGAGGCACAGAGCAGAGAAATGTGACTGTTGTAATACTTGTAGCCTAATAAAAAATTATCAGCACCACAAGTCTGTCGACTATACTAGTGCCCAAATCAATTACAAAACATGTTTTGTATCATAGTGGAGCAGCATTCTTCGTAAACATGGATACAGAAAGGTATACTAGCTACCCCACAAAAGGGGAAATTGATACAGACAACGACGTTTATGGAACCCTTAATATACCTGGTGTCATGTACTACCTGGAGCTTCACTTCCTGCAGCTGGTTTGCGATTCAAATAGCGGATAACAGCATCTTCAACCCTGTTCAAGTTGCCAAAGAAAGACACAACTCAACTACTGATCGGCAATATATAATGAATTCAACCAAAGCAATGACGCCTAATTTAACGTTGCCCAGGAACAAAAAGTTGCCAGCATGCATTTAAAGTCATGACTTGGAAAAAAAGGGGGGGACGGTTTTGGATGTTTATAAATGATACATCCAACTAAAAATGCAGTTCCACCGTTCCAATTATATAGTATAGATCACTCCGACACAAGGTAATCAATGGAAAGAGTGAAGTGTAATCAAAAGAAACATAATAAAATTGAGACAATAAAAGAGTAAAGTTATACAGGAGAAAGCTGATGAGCTTACCATGGTTGGTTGAAGAAATCTGATCTACGCTCTTTTTCTGCATTGCGACTGGGTTCCCCAGCCACAAGTTTTAGATCCCTGCTTTGAGATTCAATCAAAGCATTTATGAATTCCACAGGAGATTGGCTAAACCCCAGAAAGAATGCCCGTCTCTTACGGTGTTCATGTATTTTTCTTATGATTGCGCATATTGATTCATCACAGGCTTCAATCTCTTTGTTCTTCTCCACATTGGCCAATAATGCAGACAGCTCCCTCTGAATAGGGAAAGGGACATCAACCATCACATCATAACAAGCACTTGCTGCAGGACTATTTCCTGAGAGCTTGATCCTGTGCTCCAAAAGTATAGGTTGTGGAGAGAATAGATGCTGCGATATCTTCTGTGAAACCATGGTAAACTTCATCTTTTCTTCCCCAAATACTTTCTGAAGAGCCGGGTCACAGAAAAAGAAAGAAGGGTCATTTGGGCTCTGTAATTTCCGGGCCTTTACATAATGCCAGATTGCAGCAACAATTCTTGGGCGGGTATCAACCTCAATACCAAGAACTTCTACCAATGCTGGAGAAAGCTTAAACTTTTCAGGTACATAATTCATTTCCAACCGTATATTCACAGTAAATTCCTTGTCCCCTTTTCTCTTCACTTCAAAACCCTCATGAGGAGCAGGAGACCTAGCATTCTCCCACATAATAATATGACTATCAGGATAGAGCCTCTGATCCAAAGAAATGGTTACTCTTTTAAAGAAAGATGAGAATTTTGGATAATTGGGGTTAGACCTCTGAACTACTCCTGGCTGATCAGGATCTACACCATCTTCCAATATTCTCCCCACAATCTTAAGAGTCCATGTAGGAGGCTCAGCATTTGGCTTCTTGGGAATTGTACGTACTTGATTAGCAAAAGTGTTAAATACATAGATGCGAAGAGTTTTCTGAATACAAGGTGGGGTTTTGAGGGCTTCTTGGATGTCAACCTTCTTCCTGGCAAGTGCAGCATCAACCCGAGATTCAAACTCAAGAAGCTGGGTGTAAAGAGCAGACTCTGGCAGAATTGCGGCCACTTTATCTTGAAGCTGCTTCTCAGGGAGTTTCTGCTTCTTTCTTCGAGCAGCAGGCGTGAGTTCCATGGGTCTTAAAGTTGACGCAGTGTTAGTTGGGGAAAATCCAATCGGGCGAATTGGGGGTTTTAACGCGAGGCGCTTTGCACTTGAATTGCCAGGTGTTGAAAAGGAGGGAGGTGACACCCCTAAATTCCCAAATGCACCTGACTGGCTAGGATTAAGAGACAAACCTTGAGCTTGCAAGTGAGCCTGAAGCTGAGCATGCGCAGCTTGGGCGTGAGCTTGAGACTTTGACTGAGCTTGGGCAATAGCATTAGCATGAGCTTGGGACAGCTGAAACTGACCTTGAAAACTAGCCGCAAGCTGTGCTTGCGCCTGCGCCTGCGGAAACCCAGGATTTCCAGGAATAGAAGAGGATCCAATTCCCGCATTGCCAAATGATGATGAAGAGGCCCCAAGGCTCTTAGGCGGGTTATTATTGTTCACAGACATCGCTATCTTACTCTAATCAACTAGACAACCAAGTGCCAAAAAGCTCCAGGACCCCTTTAAAAGATTGTAACTTTACCTGGAGATATTAATGGGCAAAGCAATGGCATACGAAGCAGATCCAAGCACCTAGGTCATAACCTCCAGAATCACGAAATTGGCATTTGCAGGCGAAAAATCCAAAATGACTAAATCTGAATCAATTAGGATTTTACCTTTTCAGAAAGTCGTGGACAAAGGTCCAGGAGATCTGGCCATAGAAGATCCAAAGACCGACCAATACAGTAAGTCTATGTGCACGAGCCAACCCTTCGGGGCACCAGCCAGGTAGAGGAAACCCCAATAATTAGGAGCTTCGGTTGCTCTTACACTCTTAGATTCCAGATTTGATAGAATGAACAGAAAGCTCCAATGAGGGAGAACTGACGAAAGAAAGAGCGAGGCAGTGGCCGTGAGTTCAAGCTCCGAAACAGAGTCGGCCTTCCGGGAGGTCGATGGTGGCGGTGGCTAGGGTTAGGAAATGACCAAATTGCAGATTAAAGTTGGTCAGCGTTCCATTCTGAAGATTCTCTTGACGGCGTCGTTTCCATGTGCGGTTTTTTATGCCGAAGTAATATGTCAATTGCAATTGTTAAACCTCTTATAATTCTCATGTTTATTGAATATTTGGTAACCATATATTTTTAATATTTTTTCAAGTACATGGGGCTAAACTAATCAAATTTATGATTTTAGATCTGAATATTGCAAAAGAGTGGGGTTGAAGAACTAGCGCATAAAAGATTAAAAATGAAATTACAGAACTGGGCTTTATGTTCCATTTCTTTACAAAAAAACAATTAAAGCAAGCAAGAGACCAATTGATCACAAAGCTTGCTACATATTTTTTTTTTTTTAATATACAGATATAGATTTAAAAATTTTCAAACATAGTGACTTTATATAAATAATCCTCCGGTCCTTAATATAGGACTCAATTCTTGAGTTGGTTTTGGTCCTAAATATAAGACCCATTTCTCATATTTATTAATTTTCTCTAAATTATCCCTATGGATACTCCCTCAACCATAACCAAGTAGAAGAGGGAGAGGGAATATTAAGAAAGATGATTATGGTGTTTTAGGAAAAATGTGTCACTTTTTTTATAATTAACTAACTTACCTAACTTTCTTAATCTAATCAAATTAATTAAATGGGTCTTATATTAAAAATCGGAGGAGTATTAAATAAGTCAGCGATAGAACAATGTTAATCTGGGTCATATCCACATTGGAAATAGCTAGGGCGGGAAATGAGAAACTCAGAAAAGCCTAATCTTGTTAGCTCCCGCCCAGCAACACTTGAACCCCTTTTGCCTCCGAAGAACCTATCAAACTGATCGTGCTCAAAACCTCACACTCTTCGCCCTGCCGCGAAAATGGTACCTTCATCTCGCTCCCTAATCCTACTGTCTTTGCACCTTCGTCTTTTAGATTAGTTGCATTTGTCGTTCGTTTGATTCAATTTTCTTGTTCCAGGTGAAATACTCGAGAGAGCCTGACAATCCCACCAAGTGTAAGTATTTTCAATTTTTCCCTTGCGAACTTTTATTGTTATTGTTGTTGATTTTCTTTGGCCATTATTGTGCGGTTATTGTATGGATAATGAAAGGGGGCGCTTTGTTTAAGTTGCACTCTCGGATTTGATGATTCGGAATCGCGCTTGAAATTAACATGACATGGGGCAATTGTTGACTCTGATCCCGTTATGCCATTGACACAGCATGCAAAGCCCGAGGTTTAAATCTCAGAGTTCATTTTAAGGTATATTCCGACTCAAATAAGACAATGTGGACACACTAAGTTAATGCATTTAACAACTTAATCCTTTATCTTTTCTATCATCAACAATGTTTGATTCGTCCTAGCTTCATATGCTCTTCATCTCTGCTTAGGACAGCACATTCTTCATGATCCCCCACCTGATTTTATTCCAATTTTGAAAGCTGATAAACATGGCACCGCCTATTCGAGGCTTTGTACCATCTGACGTAAAGTGGGGTCCTTGACCCGTTTTGTTACCCAGCAAAAAAAGATGTCTGATGCGTTTTGATGTTTCTCTGTCTCTATATTTTAACGTTGGACGGCAGCAGTAGGGTTTAGTTGTGGTTCGAATAGGTCTCTCTAAAATGTATAACTGCAGAGTAAACTTCTCCTTTCGGTAGAGAAGATATAATTACCGTAAATGATAAAATCCTTTCATTCGTAACGGAAAATAGAAAATGTTGGTTCATAATCACAATTCAGCAGTCGTGTTATATGGTAGACGTGTTTCCGGCATGGAATTGTGTAGGCAGAATATAGCTGAAAGAGTAAAACTATTCGTTGGTCCTCCTGTTTTCGGTGGAGGAATTATGTGTCCACATTTGTGCTGAATTCTGGGGTGCATCCATTCAATATGTGGATGTGAATTTTAACTTTTTGTGCAGAACACAAGGGAGACAGCCTTCGCAATCGGGAAGTTGCCCTTGGGAAAGGCTAAAAGGTATCTGGAAGATGTTACTGCTCACAGATAAGCAATTCCCTTTCGACTGTATTTTGGGGGAGTAGGTCGCGCTGCTCAAGCCAGAAACCGTCATTCACATGGTCAAGGACGCTGGCCTGTCAAATCCGCCAAGTTTATCCTTGATCTCTTGAAAAATGCTGAAGCGGAAGTAAGTTATATTCCCTGGTGGATTTTGGCATACAGATTATTTAACGATGTGAATGCGTACATCACACAAACGCATATTGAAATATTCCCCCGCGTAACTGTTACTGAATATCTGATCCACGTGCAGGTGAAAGGTCTTGATGCAGATGCACTATGCATTTCCCACATTCAGGTAAATCAAGATCGGAAACAGAGGCGCCGTACCTACCGTGCTCATGGGAGAATTAACCGTGAGTTTTCTTACTTCAATTTTCTATTTAAGGGGAAAAGAAAGTAGAGGATGAGAGTGTGGGAGTTAGGTCGTAGGTTTTACTGTATGGTATGTTTTCTTCCATTCTTTGTGCGTCGTACATGTCATCACCCTGCCACATTGAGCTGATCTTGTCTGAAAAGGAGGAGCCGGTCAAGAAGGAGGTACTCATTTATTTTCGTTGTTGTATTTTAAATTAGAAATTAGATTACATGTCGTAAAGTAATGATTAATTTAACGTGGCCCCTGAGGTGCTCATGGCTTTTGACAGTTCTGTCCGTTACTTGGCCATATGCCAATGACATAACCCATGTCACTTAATTACTACTATCGTGATGTTATAGGTATAGCTGAACTGATGCATCTTATTTTGCTCAGTGTTTGAATTGTTTAGGAATGTTTGAATAACAACAAAACTATATGAGTAATTTTATGATATAGGAAATAAAAATGTGAAAAAATTTATCTTAATTTACAAAAAAATATTTCAAAAAAGTACTCTTAACAATAGCCATAGATCCCCTGACTGTTAATTTTTTTATTTGGCCTCTTTGTCTAAGTGTCAACTCGCTGATGAAATTGTTATTAATCTCTTGTTACTGGTCTGTATGGTATTTGTTGTTCATATTTATTATAGGGTTAAATTACATTCATCGTTATAAAATATTTTTCCAATAATAGTACCTAATACTTGCTCAAAAAAAAAAAAGTACCTAATACTTTAAACTAATATAAAAATATTTTTTGGTAGTAATTAGTGTGCCAAACCGATGCATTGGACGCTATAAAGCTGGTTTTCTGAATGCTATTTACTCCTCCGATCCTATTTATAGAGTACGAAAAAAAATATTTTTTAATCTTATTTATAAAGTATTGAGAGAAATTTTTTATATGGATGTACAATTTTACCCCTCATTTATTATTGTATTGATTTTGTTTATATAAAATATAATATATACTCCCTCCGTCTCTTATTATAAAATTTAATTTTTTGAATAGGTTTGTTCCTTTTTATAAGATTCTTTTTGAATTTGTCTTAATATTTAATATATTATTATCTATTTTACCTCTAGTTTAATGCATTTAATAAATTTTTTTTTCATTTGTCTCATTATTACTCTCTCACATCTACCCATTTACATATAGGGGTGTAAAAAAATTGTATTTGCTTACATATTAATTGTTTTTAATTTATTTTAACTGTTTTCTTAAATCGCGTAATTTAGTTAAAAAGATTTTATAATAAGGAACAGAGTAGTATTAAATAGGAATAAAGTTAAAAAGTCATTAAATTTTAAATAAAAATTAATAAAATTTAGGATTTTTTTAATCTATATGATAGTAGAGTAATTTTTTACTATTACATACTCCCTTTGTTCCTTATTATAAGAGACAAATAACTAAATTACGTTGATAAAAAAACAGTTTAAAATTAGTTGAGGGCAATTAATATGTAAAAAGTATAATTTTTTTTCCAACAATGCTCTTATTAATAAGGAGAGAAATATGAAAGAGAATAATTAAATTATTAAAAAAAGAGAAGTGAGAGGAAGAAAGAATATGAGTTGGAGACAAATAAATAGGGGTAAAATAAAAAATCAAAAAAAAATAGAAACAACTTTTAAGTGTTTTTTATAAAAAACATACTATAAATATCAAATGTCTGTTATAATAAGTAACGGTGGGAGTATTTTTTAGTTGTTGACCGTAAGTAGTAGTAGTTTTCCGAGGTTCATTTGGTTGTTGAGTTGCGTTTGTGTCAATCAAAGCTGCGTTATGGCTGAACTGATGCATTGATCCGTGACGCAGCCCGAGACACAGCTGGCTCCCGGAGCCAAGAGCTCGTAGACCTGTTCACTCTGGCGCTTGTTCTTGAGATCCGCAGCTTCAGAATGATTGCGTTTTTTGTGTCCTTTAATTTTCATCAGCTCATTTGGGCTTGTACCTCTACACCTGGCATCCACAATTTCACATTGACGGCTCCCAATGATCCAATTTTGTTCCGTTGTTATCTTTCATGTACGGTATATCGATGTGAAGGATCTGGTTTCTGGACAGATACTGCTTCCTAGCTCCTAGTCTGTCTTGCGCTGAGTGCTGAACATTGAATTACTGGTGGTTCGACGGTTTCGCCATTAAAGTTGGGGCAGATTGGATTGTTGTTGGAAACCCAATAGGACCCGACAAAGAATTACTCGCCCAAATTGTTTTACAACGATCTTTTGACAACTTTATCTAAATTAAGAAATTGTTTTAAAATTTTTAAAATTATTTTCAAATAAAAAATTAATATTTTAGGTAAAATGTGTTATAAAGTGGAGGTCTGAGAAGTAGTAACATCTCTGCGTACAGATGTTAGTCTCTGCTTTATATATATAATATTTCTCCGATTTTAAATATATAATCTAACTGTTAAGTTAGATTTAGTTTTAAATATAAAATTTATTTTTCATATTTATTAAATTTTTTTAAATTATCCATATGATACTCTCTCAACAGTAATTAAATGTAAAAGAAAAAAAATATTAAGATAGATGATTATAATATTTTTAAGAAAAACATGTATATTTTTTATAATTAATCAACTTATTTAATTTTTTTAATCTAATTAATTAGTTAAATAAGTTTTATATTAACTGAATAAATAGTTATTGGTACTTATCGAGTTTAGAAGTTTTATAATTAAATATAAATAGCCAATGAAAAATATTAATACTTCAAGTGAAGCACTAAAGAGGAGGCAGTAACATCTCTGTGCACCGAATAAAACAGTCATGGTTCTTTCGTCAAGATACCATGAACCAGTCACCCCATGGAGTCCCGTGACTTGCTATGATGGTCACCTGGCCTAAAGAGATGCTGCCTCAACAATTTTCAGTCTGGCTTCAAGTGATGAAGCATTTAAAGCATAAAATTATATTCCGACCAGAGACTCACGTCTGGTATTGCCCAGGAAGGGAGCCGCTCTAACAAAAGAGATATACAAAATGACACCAACCGAAGACCATCCAACTAGTTTTCGTTTCCATATTCCAACAATGGATAGTATATGTCAGTTTCACTATCCTGCAGAGTCGAAAATGAAAAGAAAAAGGTACCTCAAAAAGCATCCTTAACACTTCAAGTTTTCGACCAAGCAAAAACAGAAAAGAAAAGAAAACATCCGACTCTTTTCATAGTTTCAGAAAGTGACAACTCGGTTAGACTCGCTAAAGGAATGGAAAGACGACTTATGACTCTGCTTATTACTCAACAGTTCAAACTTCAAGCTACCATGACAGCACAGTTACGAATAAAGGGGTTAAGCTTGGTGCCGCCGCCACATTCGATTTGCCTCCACTTCAGCTTCTCCATGGCTGGATCAGGGCTGCAAGTGTATATAGTCAAGGCTCGCTCCGAAGCCGACACAGAGGTTGCACCAATCAGAAGCAGCTCATTCCCCAGAGACTTGAATGCCACGCCCCAGCCTTTCTGAGCATCGGCTCTAACTGGAACTGGTCCCAGTTTCATCCACGAGTTGCTTTCCTTCTCGTACACCTTAAGCTCATTGGAACAGGCGTCCAACGAGTAAAGCTCGTTGTTGGCAACAGCGATCAGGGGTGGAGATTGTGAAATCGACAGAGGAATATCTTTCAGCATGTTTGGAACTAGAGTCCATGTTTTTGTCTCTTGGTCGAAGTACTCCCCACACTTGAGCTCTTTCTGGTTCTCGTCCAGTCCTCCCATTACATAGAACTTATTGTCCATGCAACAGCCTGAACAGAGCTTCCTCCTTCGGATCATATTAGGGAGGCGTTCCCAGGACTTGGTCTCTGAATCGTATTTCTCAGCAGAATTCAGGATCAGCTTACAGGTCTCTGTTTCAAGACCGCCTGCTATGAAAGCGAAGTTGCCACAGGTGGCCGAGGCAAAGAGACACCTTGGGGTGATCATGGAAGGGCCCTTGAACCATTGGTTTGCCGCTAACTCATATCGCCAAACAACAGCTCCTTCGATCTCTTTTCCAGAAACAAAAAGATGGGTCCCAGCAGAAAATGACTCTTTGTCTCCATACTCAAAATTGTAATCTGATGGAATGATAGGGAGCTTCCGGCGGGACTGGAATTTCCTGTCAAATGTCCACCAGTTCGTGTCTCCACTCGCAAGCATGAACACAGATGGCTCTTTGATTTTCATTTCTTTCCTGATTTTGTAGATTTCACCACTCTTAACCAGACTCAATAACCTCTTGTTCAGAAAGCCCAGTTTCCAGTACTCTGCTCTTGGAAATCTGGCAAAGACCACGTTTTCTAGCTCGTCGCTAAGGCACGGAACATACACATAATCTGCATCCTGAGATACTTCCTCAGGTGAACCCTCGCCGGCGTTCTCAAGAACCTTCATCTTCTCTGTGATAGGAGATTGTGGGAACTCGCCCAGAAGCTATCTCTTAGTATTCGGTACTTCTGAGAGGTACTGCTATTCTAGTGTACTTCCATTCCCCGCACTCAGATTCTCTTTGGATAAAGAAACTTTCTTTTCACCTTCTAGTTATGTACCTGTAAATGGGGGGTTAAAAAAAAAGTCAAGGGAAGGCATAAAGCATTGATCACTAGCTTGCACTTTGAGAATAAAAACACACCGAAGCATTTAATATTTGACTGACTCTTGAGTAGATTGGAACATTAAAATGAAAATGAAAACTAGACCCCTCAGAGTTTGAGCAGGGCTATTCCACACAACCAGAAGTAGAGGAGAACGGAAATTGAATTGCCCACTATGTTCGACATTTAAGTATCAATTTCTGTTTGAAGGGTTGTACAATCAAATCAAATTCAAAGGGAAAAACATAAAAAGCTGTAAATATTAACCTCGAGAACAGACAACAAACAGTATTAGAATTTAGAACATTATCTTCTACTGGACATAGTTTTGACTATCGAGGTGGCTGGAACTGAATCTCAATTATCCATAATTCCAAAGAGAAGGTTCCCCAGATGAGCATGGCCCGGGAATAAAAGCAACAAACTTTACATTCTGGGTTGATTACCGTTCAGAGATTAATAACACAATCGGGCACACTCTTGGAAGAAACAGGAGAGACTAGAGACTTCAAATTTGATTCAAAGTGGGAGATAAGGAAGCAGTGAAGCATTGGCTGCATGCCTTCCCTCAGAATCTCAGAGCCCAAAAATCAATCAACAACCGGTGGAGAATCCGACTCAAGCAAAGCAGCAAATAAATAAAATCATCTATCAACTCTTACAACAGAAAAGGAGCAGTTTGGCGAGGTTGCTCCTCTCTCCCTCTGCTCCTCGCAGCAGAGACATGTGAGCCTGAGGCTATATGAGAAGAGGGAGAGAGTGAAGAAGGAGAAGGAAAAGAAAAAAGGGGGAAAAAAAAAAGGCTATGAGGCCATTGAAGCGGAGAAAAGAGAGAAAGAGGGTACATGAAGACACCCACTATTTGCTGGAAAATGGTGCTTAGTTTAGCAGGAGGGGTTTGGTCCTTGGGAATTAAAATAGAGAGAGTGAGTATCATGATCAACCACACCAACAACAGAAGAAAGCATTATTTTATTACCCAATTCAGATAAAGGAAGAAAGAAGTTTGCAGCTTAGAGAACTGTGCTTTGCCAGTGGCTGAGCTTCCCATGTTGCTTCAGCAGTCCGATGTGAGAAAAGAAAGAAATCAAATGGGGGCAATGAAACTTTCTCTGCTCCTTTGCTTTCTCTTTCTTCATTAATTTATACTAATTGCTCACTTACTCCCTCGTTTCAAGAATCAAATTTTATTCTAATTTAATATGCCACTTAATGTAAATTAATCAAATTTTATTTTAATTTAATATGCCACTTAATGTGGATTAAGTGCCCCGTTTACCAGGTAAGTAGTGTCATGTGCTTTCTACTACTCCACCACCTCACCATTTTTTCGTCTTTCATTTTCCTTCCGTTAACCATTTGATAATCAAAGGAAACCACCAGTCAATGGTCTAAACAAGACAAATTGAATTAAATTACATTTAATAGCCTCCTAAGTTCGCTTGAAACACAGAGATAATTTGTGTTCAAGAATTTTGAATTTTGAGTACTGAAATAACAAGAAAAGGTAGAGGACAGAAGATGGCTGTACTAGAATAGATCCCTAAGCCAAGGTTAATAAAAACGATCATGGTAAATCTTCAATAAGAAAACAGAGTGTGTAGATTTATCATCTATCACCGCAGTGTAACATTGTCTGGATTTCAGAACAATATCACTTTATCTAATGACTCAGTTCAACAAGAGACTATGAATTAAAATGAACAATTAAAATCCTAATGACTAAATTCAAAATAAAATTGAAAAAGAAAATCACAAGAGCGTAGGTTGTTCAGGGGGGACAGAGGGGGGATCTAAAAGGTGAAGGATTCTCCAATCACACTCACAGAAATGCACTTGATGAATAAGGAAGGGCCACAATAACCTTGTCATGGACCACTAGCCTCAGTTTATAGTGGCATCTTCCATTTAATTAAAATAAAATTTAAAAAACTTGGGTGCCGCCCCTATTCATTTCACTGCTAAATTTAACACTTAAACTTTTAACAGAAGGAATTTAATCTCCAAGGGGAACAAGATACCATATCACTATTAGTGGACCCAGATGCTGTAGTCTTTGTTCTTTTCTTTTGGAAATGGAGTCACCAAATTAGATACCCTTCAATACCATTACACTCATTACTTATATATATATATATATATATATATATATATCAGTATAGCGTAAGTGCTTTTTAATAGTGTCGCAGCAGAAACACAGCCATCAAACAACAAACAAACAATTAATTAATTAATTAATGCAGAAGAATATGAATTTGAATCGTGGTGAAATGTTAGCACACAATGGTACTTTCCTTTGTAGAGGAATAAATAATATCTTTTGTTGTTTTTTCTTTTCCGGCTCTGCAGGTTTTTAATGTTTATGTTTTGGGGTCTTGACGAAGATCTGCCGTGGAATGCACAAGCTTTTTAATTAAAGCTGCTTCATTTATAAATTATAATGCAAGCCCATCTTCTTTCTCTTAACTCTAAAAACATTATACTTTCACTTTGTGCTCTAATGATATACTTACACACTGGACATATAAATAATTATACATATAAAGCAGAAAGGGATGTGAGTGCCTTCACCTTTTTCAGATGTAGTTGCCATATTCCTTCCAACCCCTTTTATTTATAAAAACAAATTTTAAAAAAAGGTTTAAACTTTAAACATCACTCCCCTCCTCACATATAAATACATAAATATGATGTAATTTCTCAAGTACAAGGACAAAACAAACAATCCTTGAGAATAAAATATATAAAGGAATAAATAATTTAATCTACTGCATCAGGGTCCTACACACACACATATATATATTCAGTCCTTTCTAATCAAGATTAATAATTCACTACAGGGTTAGTTAATTTAATGACCACGAATTGGAAAGAAAGATGCTATGTCTTAGCCCTGCTAAGTGGGAGTCGATTGGCATACTGAAACAGTCTTCGTTTTATAATATTCTTCTGTTTACCCTAACCAATTTATTTAAATCTCTAGGGTTACATGTCGTGATTCCACAGCAACAGTGTGGTGGATTTTACTTTTCATATTTAATTTATTGAAAAGCACTTTGATCCGCCAAAGGCTTAAGCTGCACTGTATATACAAAGGTTGATCGGTCCACAGCCCACAGAAAACTGAAGGGAATAAGCTATGTGTTTTCACTGTATATAAACACACACACACACACACACACTCACAACAACGTACCTACACATTCTCTTTCAAGCATACTATTGCTTTTGAGGAGGATTCATTAAACTATGTCTTTTGGAGGTCATTGATCCGAAAGGTCACTTTTTGGGTTGATATATATGTGCATCTTCCTATGTTTTAAATATGGGCAGGAAAAAAAGATTGATCTTTTGAATAGTAGCTTCACGAATGGGACTGGCACAGAGAGGTGATCAGACGCTGGGAAAAGTGGATTTACAGCACTGAGTCGCGTTTCTTCATGCAGTGAATCCCACATGATCTCTTGCGAAAGATGAAGGAATAGAGAGATAAGAGAATAGGTTAGCTTTTAACTTTACTGCCTAGGATTTACAGTATCGTCACTTGCTCATATTTAGTTTGTTTTCTCCTTTGAAAAAACAATCCCAGATTATTTTTTAAGGAGGAAATATAACTCCTGTTCGTGTGTACAGTGTATTTTGATGAGGTTTACGTGTCGGAGGAATTGGTTCTGGTACAGTGTGTTGGTGGGGATCAGAGAATAAATAAGTGTACTCTCTGAGTTGTTATTATATTAGGTGTGCTCTTTTCTCATATAAAACCCATGTGCACTATTGGAGAAAATTGGAGTTTCGTTCGAGTCCTCTTCAGCCATCCATCTAATCTTTTATGAGGACAATTTTTTTGGATATCTCCAACACGTAAATTTTAAAATCCAACCCAATCAGTTGGTTTGATTAAAAAAGATAATGAATTGGTAGTGCAAAATGTGTGAGGAAATTTAAGGAGTAAAGAATAAGAGATTTGATCTATCAACAATCAATAAAAACTAAAACTTAGTGATGTGATCGGTCCTGCTAATGTACTTAATGTATCAAAGAAATAAAAAATGAATAAAACAATAGACCTTAAAACTTAGGAATTAGAGTATACGCAAGTCCTTCTTTATGGAGGGTGCTTTTAAGGATATCTCCAAAATATAATTTTTAAAATGGAACCAAACCTTTTTGTTTGATAATAAGGTTAAGCTACAAATTTATTCTAAAATTTTTTACTTATAAGTGCTGAGCACGAGATAATGTTTTAGGGTGCAAATTTTACCTAAAAGATTGAAATTGTAACAATATTGTCTATTAATAAATTTAAATGCTATGTTAGGTTTTTAATAGTATGGGATAATATCTTCATGATTTTAAACTATTGAGACAAATTTGCACTGAAAAAACTTCTAGATGCTAAATGTTTTTAGATTAAGACTTTTGGAATAAATTTGTATTGTAACTCATGATTAAAAAAAAAAACTCAGTGTGAAATGGGTACTAAGCATGAAAGAAATTTAAATTGGATGAAACAGATTTTGAGATGTAAGAATGAGAAGTCATTCAAGTCCTCCTTGTTCCATCCATAATCCTTCATGGAGAACATTTTTTCTTATGGATATCTCCAAGACAAACTTTTTTAAAATCAAACCAATTGAGTTGATTTGATCAAAAAATAATAAATCAGTGCTTGATCCAGCCACGAAAAGATAGATCGAAATCGAAGGAATAAAGAACTGGTTAGATCTATCAACAATCAATAAAAGTTGGAAGCCGATCATCTGATAGGTTCGGTTGATCTACTTAATGCACTGAGCAAATTAGGGGGGATGGAACGAACCATGAGATTTTGGGAAATGGAGGTATTCAAATCTCCCTTAAGCCATCCAATGTCCTTTATAGAGGACACTTTTTCTCATAAATGTTGCAAAAACATGATCTTGGCAAATCGAATTAAAAAAGTGTTTAGGTGAAACCAAATCACAATTTTAAAAATAATTTTACGATATGTAAAGTAAGTATATAAGAAAAATTTTATTTCAATTTGCATAAATGTACTTTTAAAGGACGCTTTCGGAGGAAACCAAATCTAATAATAAAAGGATGGACCAAGATCAAGGGAATAAAGAATAGGTTAGATCTATCAAGGTTTATTTAATGCATGAAAATTTTTTTTAAAAAAAGGGAACAATCCTTGAGATTTAGGAATTGGAGGGCGTTCAAATCCCCCTTAAGTCATCCATAATTATTTATGGACAATACTTTCATCTAGGAGCTTCATGGAAGCATAATTTTCAAAAGATTGATCCAAATCAATCGATTTGTTAAAAGAATTAATGAATTGCTGCTTGATTGAGTAATGAAAGGATGAATCAAAATCATATGAATACAAAATCGATCAGATCTATCAACAATCAGTACAAGTCAGACATAAGTGATTTGATGGATTTTGCTAATCTACTTAATGCATGAAAGAAATGAAAAAGGGACGAAACGAACCTTGAGATTCAAGAAAAGAGTGATTTGTTTCTTGCAATTCGTTGCCTGCCTCTGCTATACCTAGCTTTACTAAGAACACGAGCAAGAGAGAACACTGAGAAGAGAGTTGAGAGCGACCTTGTGATAGAAGGAGTAGAATTGAGATGCTTTAATAAGGGAGAGTGGAATAGCAAGGATGTTAATGCCATTTATTAACTCATTAATGTTATAAATGTCAGTAAATATGTATCGGGCGGTGCATTGACGAAGAGAGAATCCAAAGGATATTGATGCGTATCGTGCGGTTCAAGCAATCATATTTTATGAAAAATAGTTTCTAGAAGGTGTTGAGGTGCAAATTTGCCTCAAAAATTTTTATTCGGGAGTACCGAACATGCGAAAGTTATTTTTTTAATGCGAATTTGCTCAAAAAGTTTAAAGTTATAACAATTTTGCCACTTAATGTTAAAAAACTAACATTGACCAACGATTGTCTACTAACAAGGTCTTTACATTGGACTAGGATTTGAACTATCGACTTTGTAATTTATAAGTAGACTCCTTACTAACTGGACCAATGTTTGTTGGCAGTATCTTTTTCTTATGGGTACATAAACAACCTAACTTTAAAGTAATTAGACCCGGGCAATTGAACATATGGGCAAATTTGTGTGGGCTGGATTTGGATGGAACCTGCCCTAGCTTTTTTTGGGCTTAAGAATAAAGAACAAAACGTCGTTTTTGTGATAATAAACAACCCAACTTTAAAGTAGCTAGTGTAGGGCTATCGAACATATGTGCAAAGTTGGATAGAACTCTTCCCCAAACCAAAACAAAAATTGGATGGAACCAAAGGCCAAAAACACGGGTTGACGGAAACTTGGGCAATTACTGAAATAGCCCACTTATTGAGAGGCATTTACTACTTCTAGGCCCATAATTTCACTGAATTCCGGTAGTCCAATCAATAATAAAATATTTCTCGTATAAAAAACAACATAACATATTGCTTAATTTGTTTATTTGCAAGATTATTTTAAATTCAAATTTTCAATTTTTTATAAATTTATTTTTTAAATATTATACATATATTAATAGTTAATAAATTTATTTTCAACATATTTCGATGACAAATAATAATTATTAAAATTAATTCAAGAATTAAGGAATGACAACATGTACAAATTACAATACATATGCATGTCAAAAGATGATTACCCTATGTGGGTGTAGCCACAAAAATTGATTAATGAGTTAATGCCCAAATAAAATAAAGGCGAAAAGTGAAGGAGCATTTCTTCAAGAAAAAAGGCGAAGTACAAGTGTTTTCTTTTTGCCACCACAGCCCCATCACGATACCAACGAACGCAGCGATGGCAGCCTCATCCTCTTTCAGCAATTTCCTCTCATTTATCTTGCCCTCAAAACCACCACCTCCCAAGACGCCACCACCTTCCCAACTGAATCTCCCTTCTTCTTCCTCTTCCTCTTCCTCTTCTTCTTCTCGATTTTCCTCTCAGACTCACAAGTCCCCCGACAGCTACGCTCCGCTTGTGGCTGAAGATGACGGAAAGCATAATTCTTGCTTATCGGCGGAGTTATCCTCTGTCATATGCCCCTCTCTGGCTTATTCCAACACTCTCTTCTTCAAATCAGCCTACAATGTGCAGGTCATCGTTGGGGAGAACGAACCCGAAGAGAGGCTCCTCAACAGGTTCCGTAGAGAGGTCATGAGGACTGGTCTCATTCAGGAATGCAAGCGCAGGAGGTTCTTCGAGACTAAGCAGGACGAGAAGAAGCGCAAGTCCCGTGAGGCTGCCAAGCGCAACCGCAGAAGGTTCGCCCTTTTTGTTTTCGCGTTTTGCTTTCTTACTTTCTGTTAAATTGGAGATAGAGTGAGGATAATTGATTTCTGGTTAAAAGAAGAGAAGGAAAAAAAAAAGATGTCTAGTTGCTAGGTTGATAACTTGGATTCGATGGATTGTTAAGGATTGGCCTTTTTTTGTGAAATTCTGCGTTTTATTTAGTGGTCTTACTTTGTGATGGCAATTGAAAGCAATTGTGGCATACGCGATAGATTCTTAAATGTATTGTAGATAAGATCATAAGAAGGTAGTGACGGCTGCAGTTGACAATATTTGGCTAATCTAGAATATTGTTACTTGCTACTGTGGAAATTCTTGGGCATGTGATACTCTGAACTGTATATGATAGATGTTCTCTTTGAAATTTAATAATAGTTATTCGTTTTGTCAAAACTGGGGAACTAGAGATGGGCTTGGGTGAAAGATGCGAAGTTGTTCTCTTTTTCTCCAATCTTCATTGGCTGCCTCACTAATATGTCTTGGACTATCATTGAAAACTTGTGTCTGACTTGTATCGATTTCAGGCCACGTCCATCAAGATTCTCAACAGAGAGTAAGCCGGAAGTCCCCACAACAACCAAGAAGGATGAGGATGACGATAACTGGGATCTGCCCGAAGACACTCCATACTGACCTCATTATCTCCTACTTCTGTAAACACCTTCAAATTTGATTTGGAGAGGCCTTTTCCAGCGTGTAAGTTCTATGTAGAAAACTTGTTCCTCGGACTGAGTTAGCGGATAATTCCATTTATGTTTTTGTTGGATAAAATGCATTTTAATTTTTCGATTTGTGCATCAACTTTTCCCCATTTGGTACTTTTGAATTCTGGCGTCAACTTGAAATTTCTCTATGCTGCATCAATGAACAGTCTTGTAAAGTGCTTATAAGACAAGGAGGAAAGATCACAAGTAGGATATACAGGGTACAACTGAAATAAGCTTTATTAGAAAAGAAGGGAAAATCACAAATAGGTTTCGCTGGTGTTCATTTTAAATGCATTCTTGGAGGTCATGGAAGTTAGAGATACGCCAAATTTATAGCAGGATGTATCTTTGGAGAGGAGAATATTGTATTTCATATTTGTTACAGTGCCATTGATACCCTGCAAAATCACGTCAAGAAAGACTACAGCAATGCTTTGTCTGCTCCTTACGTGTCTAGGTTGATGGTATTTTTCACTCTTGGTAAGGAGGGTAGCAAGTTCATGGGAATTTAGGAATTTTTGAAATCCCAGACACATCAGGGCTAAAGTAAATTGACTAATGTGTTATAAAAGTACTGGACAATGGTTAGGTACTTAGTTATGGGAATTTAGGAATTTTCTCCTTTGGTTTTGGACGAGTCCATGCCTGTGCTGCAGCGATTCATGCTAAATGATCAAGAATTCAGGATTAGGCGACGCCAAGGTTGAAGAAGCTGAGACGTTGTGCAGTTGTCATATTGAACGGGCCTAGTTGGGTTGGGCTTAAGCCCAGTGAACTTTTAAGTGTGCCTCTCAGCTTAAGCCTAAGCCCAAACCGTCTTATTTGTTGGCCCTTCATAAGCTAGGAATGGGCCCAAGCTTATGGCATAACCCAACTTATGATGTGTGTGTCCAGGGTCAGGAAGAGCTTGTAGTCAATAAGAAGGAAGGTGAATGCCACCAGAGTCTTAATGATTTTTTTTTTTTTTTTGTTGGAATAAATGTCAGGGACCTTATGGTTAATTTAGCTAAAATTTTGATTGTTGATAAAGTACAATAGTGTCGTGCAATTTATGTAGTCAACTCTACCTAGTGTAATAAAACTTGCTGCTGTTAGAATGAAAGTGCAGTTCATGGTTCTAACGTTGGTCAATCTCCGTGATTTGGTTGGGGCTGTATGGAAGGGAAGTAGGGCCAATAGTTTGAATTCATCTCTCGTGCCACTCAAATTCAATGATCTACTGTCCATACTAAAACAGCTGATCTAAGGATATAACATGATGAAAGTCCTTCCTGTTTCCCTTCTGCAGCTTACCAACTGCAATGCAACAATGCAAATAAATTTTTGCAAGGAGTTTGAGACGAAGTTGTACACTACTTTTTTTATGAATCCTTTGAAACTCTTGCGCACATGGACCTTCCAACTCATACTGTGTTAGTATTCTTGATCTTGACGGCCCATATGCAATATTTGTTTTGTTTATTGGTTGCTCTTATCTCATAATGCATGAGATGGTTCAATAACCATTTGAATGTTTACATCTTGATGGTGGTGAAAAGGATATTTATCTGATTAGAGCATGTCCGAAGGTGGTTGAAAACATCATCTAGTCGGTCATCCGATATCACAAGTAGTTGAATCTATTCAGGCAATTATATATTTAAATAAGTGTTTTGACGGATGATACCTTATAGTGTTTGTTTTCCATACCTGGACCACTTTCCACCTCATCAGGATAAACACGCATCACAATAATATTACTGTATATAGGTGCCAAGGGAAGAGACTAGTTCTTCTCCTTCATCAGGATCGATCGTCATGGGTGTAGGCATGTTCCCCATGTTCTTCTTTTGATTTTGGGAAGATTATGGAAATTAATGATTTGTGCTTTCTTGTTTTGTGTGTTAACAGTTTGTACAGCTTACATGTGGTATTTGCTTACGAAATGATTATTTTCCATTGAAAAATTGGTTTTCCTCTGAGCTCAGAAATCTCCTCCTCCTCCTTCACGAATTTAGGATCTATAATAATTCTTGTTATCCATGTTGGTGATATTTTAAGGCGTCATGTTTTAGGCTTCATATCCTTCTTTTTGCATCTTGCTTTCTCCTATTAATTATTCTTAAAGTCATTGGTAACCGGCCATAAATTAAATAATCATTTTCAAAGATATAATTTATAAGGCGCCATGTTTTTGGACATCTCATAAAATAAAACAGGTTGGATTTAATTATGTTTAGACAATTTGACAAATACTGGTATTGGCCTCATCATGTTTCTCCTGATAGAGATGTCGTCCAGATCTCTGAAAATTGTGCGCTTTTCAAAATCAACATTATTATGAATTGCGATCACGTCAAAGTATAAACACACACACTTCCTCTGATCATATAAATATATATATATATATAACCTTTTAGAAGGTTTTCTGGATGGATTTTACACAATTTTAAAAGCATTGATTATTTGTTTTCTCTAAATACTTTTAACTATAAGCCTAAAAACGCCCTTATTTAATAAACTTTATTCAGGAAGGATAATTTTAGAAGATGATGGAAAAAATCGACGTACGTAGTGAAAGTAACTAAATTTGTTATGAGAAGGAGCAAATGAAGTAGTATATGCTTCTGCCGGTTTTTATTATAATTTTTAAATAACTAATTTATGGATAATTAACTGTTAGTTAAAATTAGTTAAAAGTAATAAATATGTTAAAAATATAATTTTGTTTTCAAATATGTCTTTATAGTAAATAAGAAAAATGAAAAGAGAATGTATGAAAAATGTGACAAGAGAGGCTATGATAAAAGAGAGAAAATAAATAATTAAAATTAAAATCATAAAAAAAAATACATTAAATGTTAAAACAAATATCAAATTAAAATCTATAAAATGAATCTTTTTTATTTTTTGTGAATTTGAAGCCCGTAAATGGAATCGGAGTATTAATCAAGCACAATAGGATATATTCCTTGAAATTGGCTGAAGTCTGAAACAAGATAGATGAATATAATTACTTAACATAGCTAATCGTTGGAAACTCAGGTCAAAGTATCAATATTCAATAACCAGCGTGGAGAATGATTTAGCTTGATTTTTGTGCACATCATTGATTGATTATTTAACCAAAAAGGCACTGTCACATGGGTACGTGAAATGATGCAAGAATAATATTTTTTTTTCACCACTACGATATTATTATGCCCTAGTGATTATTCAGATGGCACCCATAAATGATCATGCCCCGGGATATTTTATGTGATAATGACGGGGTTTAATGCGAGTGGGGAATTTAAAACCCCCAGAAACCATCCAAACAAAAAATAATGCTTATTGATTGAAGTTAATTAGATATTTATTGAAAGGCAAACCGTGTTGATCCGAAGATATTTTGGCTGATACATTATTTTACCCAGGATGACGTGTCCTTCCATTGGAAATGCACACAGTAACACAGACAGATCCAACAGTAACATAATGGACAAAGGAATGTTTTCTTCTTTAACTCGTGTGTGAGATCACGACGCTCTAAAACTACGCTAATTACTTAGGATTCCACCCAATTACCATATCGATGCACTGCATGACACAATCAATAATCCCCATTCTCTGGGAGGGGTAATTTGGGAATTCAAAAACTTGGGTACCTTCTTCCCTGTTGAAAGTGAAGAGTCATCTTCCTTATATCACTCAGACCTAAGATCAGACTGACGACTCATTCCAAAAAAAAAAAAAAAAGGATCGGACTGACGTTAATCGTTTCTGTTTGGTAAGTGCAGAGGTGACTATAGATAAGCCCAACCGAACGCCTGGTGATCCAAGATTCCAAGTGGTATGGTGGTAGTCACACGCATAGATATATAGTATAGGTAGGATAGGAAATATATGTTATATTATTATAAATGATAAGAATGAGAGACAATATTAATGAGAATAGGGGGGGAAAAAAGAAAAGAAAAGGAACTGAAGGGAAATGCAGGGCCCATATCTACAAAGCAGATCTAACAATAATTTTAGAGGACAATGACAGAATCGAAGATGAACACGACAATAATTCACGTTCGTGTTTTCCAAATTCTTTTTTTTGTCATGCAAGGTCCTCCGAGATAAGATCGACCATTTCATCTCTATAATTTATGCAGGTATTCATCATAGAGAAGAAAGATGATACCGCGGAATATTCAACATCATAATTCATAACACGGGTTTGATTGCATGATACCGTGGCATATGTCTTCTTTAATCATTATATATATACTCCTCCGGTCCTAATTATAAGACCCAATTGACTTATTTGAGGAGATTAAGGAAGTAAGTTAAGTTGGTTATTTATAATAAATAAGTGTTATTATTCCTAAAATATTCTTGCTAATTAAGTATATTGGCTAAAACTATCATTATTAGAAGGATTATCTTGGAAAAAAATGCATAAATATAAGAGAGAAAATAGATTGGGTCTTATAATTAGGACCAAATAAAAAGTCAAATTGGGTCTTATAATAAGGACCGGAGGAGTATAAGAAAGAAAAAGAGAAAAATGACAAAATTAATAACGTGTGTGTGTGTGTAGTGTGCATGCCATTCCGAAGCTCATTTCTCAAAGTTATGCGATAACTTGACATCGTCAAAACTTGGACCACTCTTCCTCTTCAATGGTGCAGTTTTCTATGTTGCTGGTTCCTTCACATATATCAGATAGCATTTGGCTTTTAGCTTTCTCTGCATATTTTGATTGCTTGATCGCCCTCCTTCAGTTCTGTGTGGGGCTCTCTCCTTCTGCTCCAACTGTTGATTGTTGCCAACAGGTTGGAACTAATCTGATGACTTCTTCTTTATCTTCCATTTTTAATTAAAAAAACAAGTCAATCATTCACTGAAATACTACCTCCAGTCCTCATTATAAGAGCCAGTTGATTAATTTGAGAGGATTAAAGAGGTAAGTTGAGTTAATTATTTGTCTTAAATAGGTGTTATCTTTCCTAAAATATTCTTGCCAATCAAGTGTATTGATTAGAACTATAATTGTTAGAAGGATTATTTTAGAAAAAAATGTATAAATATGAGAAATAAAGTGAATTGGGGTTTTATATTTAGAACCAAAATAAAAATTAAATAGGATCTTATATTAAGGACCGGAAATAGTACGTTGTTATAACTCTAATTTAAGTGCTTAGAATGTCTCAAGGCACATAGAAGTCCAAGTGCCAGCAAGGACTTGGGTGTCAGAGATCTTGACCAACACATGTCTTCCACGTGCACCCACACACTATCCCTCCAGAAGGCAAATATATGGATGGTCCATCCCAAGACTTGATTGAGCTGAGATGTCCCTGTGAAGGGTCTCTCTCTCTTGCTTGCACCCCAGAAAAAAAAGGTCTTTGTTCAGCGGATAAGGGTGTCCTTTGAAGGTTCCCAAAAGCCGTTTTGCCAAGAACCGCTCATCATTCTCACTGACTCTATCCTGCCAACCACGTGGCATTTGATTAGATTCAGTTCATGCAATAATGATGGTTTTTATTTAATCTGATGAAAATAATAATAGAGAGAGAGAGAGAGATCAACTTCGAATGGAAAAAGGTTAGATCGCCCACATTACAAGAAAGCCAATCATTCCTCACTGTTTGAATAAAGTAAAACCCAGAAAACAACTTTCACGTTGTTTTAATAACCATATCAGTTAATTGGAGTAAGAGCTAGAAAAAGATGCAGATACCACGATCATTTCATGAATATTCGGCATTTGTGACCTAACCTCATTAAAGCCCTGCTTTGTGTTTCATTATCTAACTATACATTTGACCCCAGATGTTAAAAGACAGATATGAGTAGTTGACAAGTTACCCGTATGAATATGTGATTTTAATATTATGTTTGTTCTCCTCATCAAAACCTTAAGCGTCAATTATTGCTGCCCGAATCTTGTCCTACCCATTCCCAGGAGTTTTTTACACAACACGTTGATATAATGGCTTGATTTCTTGATGGGTAAAGGTGATAAAGGCTACATAATTATTTATATAAAACAACTATATGGTTTCCTATTGAAAATCATTAGGTTAGTAAGGCAAAGTTAAACAGTAAGCTCCAAGATAACAGCTACCATCGAGTCTTATTGGTGGGGTGGCTCCATTTATTCCAATCCATAACCAGACAATAATATTTCGCCAACTTCAGAGCTTTACAAGCTCTCGTTGCTGCTGCAATGGGGGATGATTCTAGTAATCTTGAAGACACAGTAATGAATAACAGCATTGAAGGGGAAGCTGAAGGAGAAGAGAGAGATCCAGAAAGCAATCCACTGAATCAGCCACTGCTCAAGAGGAATCGGACACTTTCCACCAATCCACTAGCTCTCGTCGGAGCCAAAGTTTCCTACATAGAAAGCTTGGACTATGAGTAAGAACTTGGTTTATATGCTGCACGAATTCCAATCTGTGACTACAAAGTTTGAAGTTTATCATATTGAAAAAGACCTCACTTTGATGATGCAGGATTAATGAGAATGATCTGTTCAAGCATGATTGGAGGAGCAGATCGAAAGTTCAAGTTTTGCAGTATATATTCTGTAAATGGTCACTGGCTTTTCTTGTTGGACTTCTTACTGGACTTGTAGCAACCCTCATCAATCTTGCAATCGAGAACATAGCGGGTTACAAGATTCTCGCTGTTGTCGGATTCATCGAGAACGACAGGTCGGAACAAAACTGAATTGAATTCTAGTATTTCCAGGGGCAAAGTTTCCAACAAAGTCACAGGTTATATAGTGTGTAACTGGTGATCAACATGATCAATGCAGGTATTTGGCGGGCTTCTTATATTTCACCGGCGTGAATTTCTTGCTAACATTCGGTGCTGCTGTTCTGTGTGTGTGTTTTGCACCCACAGCAGCCGGACCTGGTATACCTGAAATCAAAGCTTACCTTAATGGCGTCGATACTCCCGACATGTATGGTGCCGCGCCATTGATAGTCAAGGTTAGTTGTTGCTTCGTCTCTATGTTTCATTACTTTCTGATTCTGATTCTGATTCACTTCCCATTAAGCAATTAATGGAAAGGTAGATAGTGCTTTCCTATTGCTAAGGAGATTTTTATTGGCTCTTCCTCACGCCTTTTTGTTATTATAGTGGGCATCTAAATATTGTCAGATCCATTGTGTTATTTTCTGTTAATTTTCATTCTGTACTGTCCTTTTGAAAGAGATGCAAGGCAATGAGTGCCCAACTATTGCGAGAATCTTCGGGTTTAAATATTAGTGATGGCGCACTGATCTCAGAATACGATATATAATATCAGGGAATTTATGCTGCGCAAAGCAAAAATGCAAAAGTCATCTTTTCTTTTCCTTTCTTCTTTCTTCTTCTTCCCTTTATTTTTTTGGTAATTATTAGCACTCGCAATTTGTCTTGCATACATGATTCTGAACGATCGTGAGGTAACAATACTATCGTCTCAACAAACATAAAATGCAAGTGTTATTTTCCGAATTAAGATGTCACAAATTTAAAAAAAAAAAAAAAAAAGACTTGTCAACGAAACGAGTCTTCTGATTTGTAAGAGTTGCAGACCACAGTTCTGTGATGACAAGGGTGTGATATTCAAAATACTGTAAAAAATATGAACCAATGTTATCAACAGCGAATAGCCAATGCATTCTCATAAGTCACATTACTTCTGTCTTCTGATATACATCTGCTTGAGCAGATAATTGGAAGCATTGGAGCTGTAGCTGCAGGGCTAGATTTAGGAAAAGAAGGACCATTGGTACATATTGGGGCCTGCATAGCTTCCTTACTAGGCCAAGGAGGCACTGAAAAACACCGGATCAAATGGCGATGGCTTCGATATTTCAACAACGATCGAGACCGCCGAGATCTCATCACATGTGGAGCTTCCTCAGGGGTTTGTGCGGCATTCAGGGCACCTGTTGGAGGAGTTCTGTTCTCTCTAGAAGAGGTGGCAACCTGGTGGAGAAGTGCTCTCCTCTGGAGAACCTTTTTCAGCACAGCTGTGGTGGCAGTAGTGCTCAGGGCCTTCATTGAAATCTGCAATTCTGGGAAATGTGGCCTCTTTGGCACAGGAGGGTTGGTCATGTTTGATGTCAGCAGTGTAACAGTGAGATACCATGTAATGGACATCATCCCTGTTGTCCTCATTGGCATCATTGGTGGGGTATTGGGAAGCCTCTATAACCATCTTCTTCACAAGGTCCTCAGAGTCTACAGTATCATCAATCAGTAAGCAATCATATCCAATCTCTCTCTGTTTTTAATGTAGCATCTGATATCCAGTAGTATCGGATGATATTCCAACATTGTCAGGCTCCAAATGGGATAATTCTCCCAAGGATGCCTTTTTACATATTCACATGAACTTGAACCACGACCTTGTTTAAGCAGTCCCTCAGGCCACATCCAATCCTAGTCTCACTGTTATATAAGAACACATAAGTGCTCAAGTCTAGTACATAATGAACAAAGCAAAACCCAGCCAGTCAAGATCCTAGTGAATTAAACTGACACCATTTTTACCTTTACAGCGTTCTCTATTCACAATCAACAATGATGATTTACCATTAATTAATAATGGCAGGAAGGGGAAAATACAGAAGCTCCTACTCAGTCTCTCAGTTGCACTCTTCACATCAGTTTGCCAATATTGTCTTCCATTCCTAGCAAGATGCATCCCCTGCGATCCTTCGCTTCCAGAAAAGGCCTGCCCCACAAATGGGCGGTCTGGAAATTTTAAACAGTTCAATTGCCCCAGTGGTCACTACAATGAACTTGCTACTTTGTTGCTTACCACTAATGACGATGCTGTTAGAAACATATTCTCAACCAACACCCCACATGAGTATCATCCGTCTTCCCTCCTAATTTTCTTTGCACTATATTGCATATTAGGACTTATTACTTTCGGGATAGCTGTGCCATCTGGGCTCTTCCTTCCAATAATCCTCATGGGTTCTGGTTATGGCCGTCTTCTTGGCCTCTTGATGGGACCTCACACAAAAATAGACCAGGGGCTGTTTGCTGTTCTGGGTGCAGCCTCCCTGATGGCGGGTTCAATGAGAATGACAGTATCAGTTTGTGTGATCTTCCTTGAACTCACCAACAATCTTCTGCTACTACCCATTACAATGATTGTTCTCCTGATAGCCAAGACTGTTGGAGACAGTTTTAACCCTAGCATCTATGATATTATACTGCACTTGAAAGGCCTTCCATTCTTGGACGCAAATCCTGAACCATGGATGAGAAATCTCACAGTGGGTGAGCTTGTCGATGTAAAAGCACCGGTGATTACCCTCAGTGGAATAGAGAAGGTGGCTCGTATAGTGGAAGTTCTTAAAAACACTACACATAATGGTTTCCCTGTAGTGGATGAACCAGCGGAAGCTTCAACAGGGGTGGCCAAGCTTCATGGACTGATACTAAGAGCACACCTTGTGCAAGCGCTAAAGAAGAAATGGTTCATGAAGGAAAGGAGGAGGACAGAGGAATGGGAAGTGAGAGAGAAATTTACGTGGGTGGACCTGGCAGACAGAGAAGGGAACATTGAGGAGGTGGCCGTGACGAGGGGGAAATGGACATGTTTGTTGATCTTCATCCTTTCACCAATAGAACTCCTTTTACAGTTCTGGAGAGCATATCCGTGGCAAAAGCGATGGTCCTCTTCAGACAACTAGCACTTCGACATATGCTTGTTTTGCCCGATTATCAAGCATCTGGGGTGAGTTGAGTCTATTAATTCCATGCAAATATGGACTAATTATTATTATTTCAGTAATTTTCTGGTAAAAATTTCATGAATGATCCTTAAGGATTCAAAATAGTTATGAATCACTGACCCATCTTGCTCTCGCATCATAGGTATCTCCTGTAATTGGGATCTTGACCAGGCGGGATCTACTAGCCCACAACATTCTTACAGTCTTTCCTCACCTGAAAAAATCGTGAGCGCAGAGAAAAAAAAGGGAACTAAACCTTCCCTGACAATTGAACGGCCCAGCAGCTTTTCTTTGAACAAGTCTGAGGTCTCCATTTTTATTCTTGAGAAAGTACGGGGATCAAAGTACAGGGAGGGATGATATACAAGGAGGTGTATAACTATATTCAATGGAGTACTTTTCTATTCACTCTTGATGTTCCCGCATAATTGATCCGCTTTTTTCCAAAATTTTTTAAAATGAGAGCATTTATCTATTTCGTTTCTTCCATTCTAAATTTTTGCTATTGATTTGCAGTTCTGAAAACAGCTCCATGTGCAATTGAACAATCGGCTACTTCGGTTATTATTTCTTTCTTTTTATTTCTCGATTTCTTTACTGAGGGCTCCTCACGAACCCTACAAAATTTTCAATGCCGAAGATGGGACAAACTAATATGTTTTACGAGCGCGTATGGGTGAAAAATATGCATATATAGGATTATTTAGAATAATTTATAAATAACTTTTTAACTGTAATTTATAAAACATGAGATAAATAATCTTAAACACGGCCAAAACTTACTGTTTTATTTTGCGCAGGAAAAAACAAATAATTAATAAAACAGGACTTTTTAAAGTCTCTAATTTAAAAGGCCTGAGAGAATACAATATTGCGCGTTAAAATTTGCTCCGTCTTGTACGCCGATACTCTTCCAACTAACTATATCTCTTAACCAATCCAGACAATGGGTGTTTCACAAGGTCTAACATAGATTTAAATATGAGAATTGATTGTAAAAATGGCCAATTCAGTTCTTAATCATATAATATATCTAAAATACGTAAAATCACTTTCAAGAAATCTAAGCTTCTCATAGCTAGCTACTAGCAACTGAAAACCATCCATCCATTAACATCCCGAAAATATATTAAACACAAGCACATGATTCTAAATTATTCCCATCAACACAATTGATGACATCTACAGTAAAACTACCCATGCTGTTCGCTGATGGATCTTTTTAATACCAAATAAAATTCCTGTAAGCTGTTGCCACCGATAAGATGATCTCCAGATTAACTCGAACTGCAAGATATATATAATATATATATATATACTTTTTCCCCCGCAAGACTCAAACTGCAAAGATTAATCGTCAGTTCCGAAGTAGCGATCACCAAACTCGCCCAGTCCTGGGATGACACGGAACTCTTCATTCAAGGCAACATCAATCTCGGATGTGACGATTTTCAAGGACGGAAACCTTTTATACACACAATGGATTCCCTCCGGTGCCTGAACTCGAAAACCAGCCCATAAGATCCGTGTATTTTTAACAGTGATCTAAAAATTTAACACCTCAGACCACATCAACAAAGGAATCAAAAGTAACTCACAGAGATGAGATTCAGGAATATTATGTGGGATTCTGGAACTCCTTTCTGTATGAGCAGCTCAATTGCTTGGTTTGCAGAGTTACCTACAACGGAAATACTGATATCAGTTTTCATACAGCTTGGAAGCAGACGGTTTGGGCAACCACTACACATCCTAAAAAGCTAATGACCGACAACCAGACATGTTCAGAAAGCCCATCTTAACATTGTAATCAAAACATATTTAGGATGTGACTCCTTTCAGGTTTTTCTTGTCCCTCGAAGGGTAGTTAGCAGATAGCATTCGACACCCCAAAAATTAAATCCAATACTGTAATTCGCATGCTAGCCTGTTCTTGCAAATAAATTGGAATAGGTCGTCCAACTTTTCTCCAGCTACCACTTTTTTCTACATGTTTTATATAAGGTCCTTCCCCAAGAATATGATACAAAAGGGTGAGCAATAGTGGATAGCGTAAAGACTGGTGAAGCCAATTCAAATGCGACACAACAAAAATGAACAGGAAACCATTTCAATCAAGGGTAGCAGAAAGCACCAGTAGCCAGGACAGGGTCAAGAAGCAAGACATGCCGCTCTGATATATCCTTGGGAAGCTTCTCGTATATGAGCTGCTTAAAGAAGAAACAATTTTAACAGTTAATACCTATAATCATATATTATCCATGTAAAATCCTCAGAGAGTACCGCTTTTTAATGTCCCTTCAAGGACATCCAAAGTAAACTTACCTGTTGTCCATTGTCCCCATCCCTATGAATCAGAATCTTTCCAATTTTTATGCCTTTGCAACATGCTCGTAGAGCATTCTCCATGCTCTCACCACTATAATGTATAAACAAGGGGAATAAAAAATAAATAACATCAAGGGAATAGCCTACGTATGATGGCAACGTATGACACCTGATTTGCTATTCAGATTCAATGTTCAAGGCATAATAAAAATACATGAGAATTTGAGAATATTAATCTAACCAAATAAGGGCATTTAAATGCATGTACCTAAAATTGCATTTCTAGCATTATATCATTTAGATGCTGAGCCTGCCAAAATTAATACCTGGTTCAAAGCTCACCTTCGGACAATAGAAATACCACACAATTTTTTGCAGAAGTCAACGCCAGTATAGACAGATCCTGCAACAACAAAATTCAAAATGTACAGATTGCACTTACTTTTAGGGATTAGATGACTTAAATGAAAGGAGAAGAACTCATTAAGCATATGCCTCAGCAAACTAGAGAAGGAGGCCACAATTCTAGTTGCTCCTAAAGTCAAGATCACAACAAAACTCAAGCCATTACAATTTTATTTTCATATAGAAACAAGACTACTTGTATAAGTTACATACTAACTGTGAACAGAGAGGAAGCGCCCATTCAGAAATAAATGAGGGTTTAAATAAGAGAGAAAACTTATGTGCTTAAGTTCATACATTTAAGGTACATTATTCTAATCAAACAAGGGCAAGAAGATTTTTTATGCATCACTTATCCTATACCTAACTATTGCTACTAGCAGTGTTAACTTATTTTTAAATTTAAATTCCACGCATTCTCATCTGATCGGAATGAAGTACCTTAGGTATGTGAGCTTAAGTATGTAGGTCTTTTTCCTTATATAAGACAGTCGATAGACCTTGCATCTTCATTCAATGTCTACTGGCAAATCAAGATAGGATATTCTACTATGTATCGGTTCAGTTAATCCATGGGTAAAAAGTGAACATCCAGACATCAGATCAACAAAACCAAGTACATCTCACAGTAGGGCAGTTTGCAAAGCTTAAATCCTGTTTCCCAAAAAGGGAGGAGAATACAAAGAATTTGAAACAGATACGATGATTGGAGACAAGGATAGATGATTGCCTGTTGGAGTGACCACCTGCTTTTCAGTGAACGGCAAATGGCCAAGGCCATGCTCAACAACCTGATACCAATACCACCAAAAGTAGTCATTATCCAGTGTTCCAAGTGATAAAGATATGAAAACAAGTGAGAGGTTTAGCAAAAAGGTTGAAAGCACTGTGTACCAGGCGTATGAGTCGGTCTGAATAAAATACAAAGTCATGCTTCGATATGTCTTTGTCACGAATCAATGTGTGCATCCCCCTTATCTGAAATGTTTAGGCATAACCAGTGAAGAACAGTTAACCTCCAACTCAAATCTCATCCAACACCCTTTCTCCAGGCAGTCAAAGACATTGCTTCCAAGTTATAATGTTTCAGCCAGTAATTAACATGTGAGTTCCATGACCCACAACGCAAAGCATCATAATCCAAATTTACCATCCACTTCTAATTCATGAAGAGAATAGAAAATTAAAACAAAATGGGTCTAAGAATGGTTCGGCATAAGTACCTGGAATGTTGACTGAATAACATACACATTTGGATATATTTTGCATAGATCGTGTTGACCAAGTTTTGTATGGATATGCTGGACAATCAGATCAATGGCAACATGATTATCACCTCCTCGGGGGATGATCACATCAGCATATTTCTTTGATGGAAGAACAAAATCATCAAAGGCAGGCTTGACAAACTTTGCATACTGCACATTCAACAACATAATAAGGCACAAATACACAATATGATTGATCACATTTAGCCAGGAACTTTTTTACCAGAAATAATCTCCTTATCAATTTACCACATTAAAATTTCTCAAAAACACAAAGATTTTGATAGAAACAGATGTCATCATTTGCATAATTGCTAATAACCCTCAGTTACAAATTAATCTACTATGTGTACCTGTTCAAGAACAGAGTTTATATCCCTACCCCTCTCCACTGTATCACGTCGAATTCTACGAGCAAGCCTCACATCAGCATCTACAGGCAATTAGTAAACCCAAATATAACATTAGATAGATATAGAGGGAGGGCTTCCATCACTAAAACAAATAATAAAAACTAGCATTCTTTTGCATAGTGTTCTTCAAGCAATTGGCAGCAGCTAATCTAATAGCTCAACAAAGACAAGAATAGAAACACAAAGAAGGCAGGTGAGGTAATCATCATGAGTTAAATACTTCTAGAAATCTTGGAGAATACATTACTAGGCATACTGAAATGAAGAAGAGGCCCCAAACAAGCCTGAATCATTATAGAAGATTATAGGGTATCTTTACAAATACTCTCAAATGATAGCAAGAAGTATTCTACGCTTTTAACTATCCAGATTTTCTATGAATATCACTGTTAAAGCAATTCAAGCATAAGCATCCATCAGGTTATTCTGTCCCAACATCAGAACCTGGTAAAAATAACTCGAGGCACAAAGAGCAATGAAATGCAAAACATGGCAAGGGGGAAATAATCTTATGACAAGTTATCGCAAAAATATGTAACTAATGTTGGCTTGTATTGAACAACAGCACTTTCACACATATGATACAAATAGACCAGACCTGTGTCAACAAAGATTTTCATGTTCATCAAATCACGAACACGTTGGTCATGGAACACAAGAATTCCCTCCAAAATAATGACATCAGAAGCATTGACCTGAGCACATCCATCAATTACTCTTTATCAAAAAGTCATCAGAAACAGTAATTAAAAAGAACAGTTATTGGCATAAAAAACAACAATCTGATACATTTGACATGACGAGATAATTCATCAGGTGTAATATGTACTGTTAAGTGTGTAGTTCGTGATTCACAGATCTAATAAAATTTCTCCCCCAAAATGTGCATGATGTGTAACACTAACTAGGAAACAGCTGCACAACAATGTGTTTCCAACGACAATTTTTTATGGCCATCCCATCTACTGCATTAACAGTGTTAGAACATAAATGTGTCTCAAATCAAGGTGGATCATAAAAATGGAAGGGCATAGAGACCATTAATAGCAAAATAATTTACGCCAAAAATAAATGC